TGTAGGGTGGAACCCTAAGATGAATACTTACCTGAGACCTACACTATTTATGCATCAGGTATCAAAGGGGGTAAGGTGTTTAGCGGCAGCAAGCACCAGCACCTATAGAGACACGCTACATCTCGCGTCTATCAAGTACAAGGAATGGGAGCGTATAAGAACCAACTACGCTAATCGGGGTGCAATGCAACCCCACAGGCTGCACCCATGCTGAGCTTCTATCCTATCGCTACACATCACAGAGCCTTGCATTCCCCTTTGGATCACCCACGAAGAAAATCCCCAAGGCACTTACGTTGTAGGGTGGAACCCTAAGATGAATCTTTCACGAATTGGAGGGGAAATCCCCAAGCACAAGATGAACACAAAGGGGAAAACACAAGAGGAACACTCAAGAACAAGCCCAAATCACACATCCACTAGACTCACATCCACACAAGATCCACAAAGGTACAAGAACAACAAAAGGAAAGATACATGATAGAGTTCATCTCAAATCTAAAGGAGGTGAGGTCTTGTTGATCTAGGTAGATCCTTCCCACAAGGAGGTTTCGAATCCCTAGGGATCTTCCCCAATGGAGGTCTTGAACCCCAATGGAGCCTTCTCTCTCAAGAGGAATCCCACAAGGGGAGGTACATGAGCTAAGCTCTAATGTCTAGATCTATTCTTAGCTAAGTCTAAATGGAGGAGATGAAGGAGTATATATAGTGCTAAGGGATGAAGGGTAAGCAGGGGCGAAATGGGGATTACATGGGCAAAGCCCGCAGCAACACTCAGGGGGCCCCGTGTGCACGGGGTAAGTGGAGCCCGTGCGCACGGGGTATCCAGAGACCTGACGCATGAGCCCGTGCGCACGGGGTCCGTGAGGCCCGTGGACACGGGGGTCCCGTGGGCACGGTACACGCCCGTGCGCACGGGGTCGGAGGGGCCTGTGTGCATGGGGTCGCCTGGGAGCTGCTGCCTTCTTCTTAGCGCTTCCTTCTTCACTTCCAGGCTTCCCTCTTGGATGGTGTAGATGTTCTCTTCTTCTTGGACTCCTCGATGAATGTGTAGCTCCGCTCACACCTATGTATGCACACGAGAGAGGGGTTAAGTAGTATACCATCCTCGAAAGGTACAAGTGGACACATGTAAAGGAGATGATTCACCTTTGTATGTATGAAGTAGATGTCGCACATGTCATTTGCCAAATGGACTCTTGACATGGTGATGTCCATAGGATGCTCCGCATCATCCCCTCCCCCTTGGGAAAGATCCGACCTCAGATCGAAATCCAAATCACCATGGGACCGAAGATGTTGTGCTTTGCCTATCCATCACAAGAATCGAGTAGAGGTGAGTAGGAAATGAGATAAACAATATCAAGATACCGTTTCCCAAAGTTGAGGATGTATCCCGTGTCACTCAATGTTATATGTTGAGAGAATAGTGAAATTGGTACCTGACTTGTTCACTCACACCTACAAATTAAATCTTATCGAGTGGCTTGGTTAGGACAAGTGGCACAAAATTCAAGCAAATGTTAGTCCAAGATATTGAAAATGTTGAGGAAGATTCACAAAATTATATGTAAAGCAAATAGATCAAAGCTATGGTGACACACGGAAACACACACATGGATAGATAAATGGGGTCGTGCAACCAAGGAACGAGCTCAAAATGTGGAAGCCACAGAAAATGCTCTTGTTGCACAACTCTAGAGAGACGCTAGCTCGATTGCTCAAATGGGCAAGATACGCTTTGTGCACTAACCTATGAGAGTAAAAGTGCCGTCTTCAGTCCCAAGTATGCTATGTATGTATGCTCCAAGTGTGTGTACTATGCAAAATGGCTCAATGCTATTTCTATTGCTTACAAGCTCTTTTGTATCTTTGCTTAAAAGCTTTTGCCCTTTTTTTTTGATATGCTTGATGCTCAAGCAAGTATGATATGAGACAAGTATGTAAGATATGCACGGGAGAGACTTATGGCACAATGATGATAGCAAGATGATTGCACGCTAAAACTAGCTATGCAGCGTAAGCATATCACTAAGGTGCACAAATAGCGTGGCCCGACAATTCTCAACTCGCTAGTCTCGATAGGTAAGGTACGCAATAGGCTCGGGGCTATCAATGCAAAGGCAAGGAATATGTACAATGGTATCGTCGAAGTTACCGTCTTGGTGATGATGAGTGGCGGTGATGTCAAAGTCAAACCGTTCCTAAGTAGCCGAAACATCTTAGGAAACGGTGAAAAACCGCGAACTCAAAATCTCAAATATCAAATGTCAAATGGTGGTGTCGGACATGCGGTGGTGGTGTCGGAGATGGCAATAAGGAAGTGGTGGTGGTGGTTGATGAAGAAGCAACCATCCCTAAGTAGCCGAAACACCTTAGGAGACTCAAGTCACAACTCAAACAATCACAAATGCTATATGAAGCGAAATGTGTTAGGTTGCGGAAAGCTATGGTGGTTTTGCGGATGGTATGGTGGAGGGCCTAGGCAAAGATGTCCAAATGTCAAAATTTTGATGGAGTCAAATGATGTGGGAACCTATCTAGGTGGGTGGGTGATGTCAATAGCTACTCAACGAGCTAAAGAATGTCAAAAACAGACTCCAGATGCAAAAGTTAGAGCCGAAACGGTGAAGTGCTCGCGGCGGC